AACATATAAAAACGGCCAATAGGCACAAGAAAAAACACTTCAACAGCATAATCATGGAAATGCAAATCAAAATCAAAATGAAATACCAACTCACACCCATTAGGATGCCAACTCTTTTTAAAAAAGAAAAGGAATGAACAAGTATTGGTAAGGATGTGGAGAAACTGGAACTCTGGTGCACTGCTGATAGAATGTGAAATGATGCAGCCACTATGGAAAACAGACAACATGGTAGCTTCTCAAAAAATTAAAAACAGAATAACCATGTGATCCAGCAATTCCATTTCTGGGTACTCAGAAAAAAATGATAGCAGGGACTCAAACAGATATTTGTATAGCCATGTTCACAGGAGCATTATGCATGATGCATGACAGCCAAAAGGTAGAAGTAACCCAAGTAGTCATCAATGGATAGATAAACAAAATGTGGCATATACATACAATGAAATGTGATTCAACCTCAAAAATTCTGACACATGCTACAACATGGATAAACCTTGAAGAAATCATGCTAAGTGAAATAAACCAATTACAAAAGGACAAGTACTCCAAGATTCCAGTTTTTTTTTTTTCTTTTTTTATTGAGACAGAGTTTCGCTCTTGTTACCCAGGCTGGAGTGCAATGGCACAATCTCGGCTCACTGCAACCTCCGCCTCCTGGGTTCAGGCAATTCTCCTGCCTCAGCCTCCTGAGTAGCTGGGATTACAGGCACGTGCCACCATGCCCAGCTAGTTTTTTGTATTTTTAGTAGAGACGGGGTTCACCATGTTGACCAGGATGGTCTCGATCTCTTGACCTTGTGATCCACCCGCCTTGGCCTCCCAAAGTGCTGGGATTACAGACGTGAGCCACCACATCAGGCGATTCCACTTATAAAAGCAGAATTCACAGAGACAAAAATGACCTAGCCTGGACCTAGATGGAAGGGACATGGGAAGTTACTGTTTAATGGGTACAGTTTTGGTGCTATGAGAAGAAAAGCGTTCTATAGATGATGGTTAGGTTCCACAATAAGAAAATATTTAAAGCAGCCAGGCGCAGCAGCTCACGCCTGTGCTCCCAGCACTTCGGGAGGCCAAGGAGGGTGGATCACGAGGTCAGGAGATTGAGACCATCCTGGCGAACATAATAAAACCCCGTCTCTACTGAATATACAAAAATTAGCTGGGTGTGGAGGTGCGTGCCAGTAATCCCAGCTACTCGGGAGGCTGAGGCACAAGAATCACTTGAACCCAGGAGGCAGAGGTTGCAGGGAACCGAGATCGCACCACTGCACTCCAGCCTGGGCGACAGAGCGAGACTCCATCTCAAGAAGGAAAAAAAAAAAAAGAAAACGTTTAAAGCCACTGAACTATACCATTAAAAATGTTTAAAATGGTAAACTTTATGTTATGTGTATTTTACCACAATTTTAAAACGAACTACAGAAAAAGTACAAGAATGTTTACAGAAGCTTTACACCAAATAGCCAAAAATTGGAAACAACCCAGACATAAATGGGTAAATGGCTAAACTTAGTGGCAGTACCTCCATACCATGGAACACTCAAGAATAAAAAATAAAAATAAAACAAGCTGTTGAGAAACACAACCTGGTTATCTCCAGAGTTAGAGTGAGGAGGAAAATAAAAATTTTTAAAAAAGAGCAAATACCAAAAGGTCACAGCCTGTATGATACTATTTATATTACATTCTTGAAACGACAAAATTGGCTGGGTACAGTGGCTCATGCCTGTAATCTCAGTACTTTGGGAGGCTGAGGTTGGCAGATCACCTGAGAGCAGGAGTTGGGAGACCAGCTTGGCCAACATAGTGAAATCCTGCTGCTACTAAAAATACAAAAATTAGCTGGGCGTGGTGGCAAGTGCCTGTCATCCCAGCTACTTGGGAGGCTGAGGCAGGAGAATTGCTTGAACCTAGCAGGCAGAGGTTGTAGTGAGCTGAGATCATGCCACTGCACTCCACCCTGGGCAACAGAGCAAGACTTTGTCGAAAGAAAAGAAAGAAAAGAAAAGAAAAGAAAGAAGAAAGAAAGAGAAAGAAAGAAAGAGAGAGAGAGAGAGAGAGAGAAATAAATAAATGAATGAATGAATGAATGAATGAATGACAAAATTATACACATGGAAAATATATTAGTGGCTGTCAGGGGTTAAGGTGGAAAAGAAGATAACATCACTGATCATTAGAGAACTGCAAATCAAAACCACAATGAGATAATATCTCACACCACTCAACATGGCTATTAAAAAGTCAAAAGATAACAGACGCTAGTGAGGTTGTGGAGAAAAAGGAATACTTATACACTGCTGGTAGGAGCGTAAATTAATTCAGCCATTGTAGAAAGCAGTGTGGTAATTCATCAAAGAGCTAAAAACAGAACTACCATTTAACCTAACAATCCCATTACTGAGTATATACCCAAAGGAATATAAGCTGTTCTGTTATAAAGACACATACATGCATTTGTTCACTGCAGCACTATTCATAGCAGCAAAGACATGGAATCAACCTAAATACCCATCAATGGTGGACTGGATAAAGAAAATATGGTATATATACACCATGGAATACTATGCAGCCATAAAAAAGAATGAGATCATATCTTTAGCAGGAGCATGGATGGAGATGGAAGCCATTATCCTTACCACACTAACACAGTAACATAAAATCAAATAACACATGTTCTCACTTGTAAGTGGGAGGTAAATGATGGGAACACACGGACACATAGAGGGGAACAAAAGACAGTGGGATCTAACTGAGGGTGAAGGGTGGGACAGAGAGAGGATCAGGAAAAATAACTAAAGGGTACTTGGCTTAATACCTGGGTGACTAAATAGTCTGTACAACAAATCCCTGTGACATGAGTTTACCTATATAACAAACCTGAAATGTACCCCTAAACTTAAAAGTCTTTAAAAAATAGGTATTAGGAAAATAAAATATAGAAAATATGAAGAAAAAAATTACTCCAAAATTTTCTTTTAATTTCTCCAAATCTGAAGCATACAAATGTCCAGACTGAATGTGCAAAATGAGTATTCAACATAAAGAATAAAAAAAAAAAAGCTGCCCCAAGCAAGATGCTTCATTGTGAAAATCAAAATGGAAATTAAGAGCTTCCTTCCAAAGAGAAAAAAATACACCACAACATTTGTGAGTCTTGCATAATCAAGGCTGGAAACCAAATGATAAGAGAACAATTTCCTCAAAAACCTAAAATCATTTTCCGTCTCGCATGTACTGAATAAGGAATCAAACAAGAAAGAAAAACACATGAGATCCAGGAAACAGAGAACCTGATATTGGCGAGAGGCAAAGGAAATCACAAGGTGAAGCAAGGCACAGTCCAGGATGGCAGCCACAAAGCAGATCTAGTAAGACTCTAGATTGGAGGGTGCCAGGTGGCATGTCTCCAAGGGGAAAAAAGGGAACTGACAGATGACCTAATTTCTTTGCCTAAGGACTGTAAAATAAGTTCCACCGGAAAGACTGTAAGACATAATTAGTGACAGTGATCATAAGAATTTAAAACCCTCATATTCCAGCCCTACTGCTACACACACATTTCTCTTCCCTCTAGCCTCCCTATGTTACAATTTTCAGCAGTACATGAATATTCATTCTGAATATAAATTTTTTTTAGAGACAAGGTCTCTCTCTGTCACATAAACTGGAGTACAGTGGTGCAATCATAGCCCACCACAGCCTCAAACTCCTAAGCTCAAAGGATTCTCCTGCCTTAGCCTCCCAAGTAGCTGAGAGTACAAGAGTGCACGACCACACCTGGCTAATTATACCCTATTTAACTAACTGGGTTTCCTTGGAGCTAATCCTCATTTTTTCATTTGATTATTTAAATATATTCTTAGATTTCAGTGATAAAAATAAAACTTTTATTTCAAAAATAATTAGTGTATGTTTTTAATATTTCTCATTTTATGCAAAGATTTATTTTCTAAATAGGTATGTAATATAGACAAACCTATACATATTTATAACTTCATTTTTCATTTTTTTCAAAGTCATTAGTTAGATTTAATCATTATCAGAGATTAGTCTTCACAACAATTTCTAGTTACTTCATAACATTTCAATATAAGAATATATGATTATTTATTTACTCATATTCCTCTGTGTTAGGTATACGATTTTCTCAAAATTTTGTATATCCTTAACAATGCTCACTTGAGCACCTTTCTATATAAATCTTTGTGTATATCTCCAATGACAGGTTCCTAGAAGCAGAACAAGGCTGTTCACACTTTTTATCTAAACTACTTAGTTGCCAGCTAAAAATCTCTGCCAATTTACATTTACACCTACAACGTATTATGATTATTTAACCAAATGCTTACCAGGAGTAATATGTTTTAAATATTTCAAAAGTTAAAAGGGAACAAATTTAACATGTACTCATTTTAATTTGAATTTGCCTATTATGTTATATCATCTACTTATGACTTTTAATCATTTTTCTATGAGACAATTACTTGTATATGTGCTGTTTTTAATTTGGTAAATTTCTTCACAGATTAAGGACATTTTTCCCTTTGTCATAGTTGTGATAACTATTTTTCAGTTTAACACTTGTGTAGTCACACCTTTGTTTTTCCTTCCCTTGCACTTGTATCTTAAAAGGCCTTCCCTCAGCTCAAGGATTGTTAAATACTGACTTATATTTTCTTCTCTTTCTCTCTCTCCATCTCTCTCATTGAAGGGTGGTATTATGGTTTTATTAGTAGTAATTATTTTAAATAATCTCTAAAAGGGATCATTTAGCAATCCTTTTATAAAAGTATAAGGAAGCAGTGAGAAGACATCAGGAATGTAAAGGTGGTTTAAAATGAAATAACTTTCTATGTATCTTTTAACTATAAATCTTTCAACATATAAGTTTTCTTCCATAAATATCTGACTACATGGGTCATAACAGAAGCAATGTTATACTTTTAGGTATATATGCTCATATAGCTTAATTTTTTTAAGTTTTTACTCACTTGTGGTCATGATGTTAGGAGGGCAAGAGGGTATTCCATGATCTACTGCCCATCTGTAGGCTCCTTCGCCAACTAAAAAGCTAACAACAGAAAAATTATTTTTAATATTGACAGCGTTATCTTCTCCTACATATTCAATAAATATAGGTAATATGGTAAGGCAATTGAAAAAAAGTATTGCATATGGACATAATTCCAGATTTACCTCGAAGATGACTGCATGCTAAAAAATTCCTGAAAAAATTTCCCCAAATCAGAAATTTTACAATTGGAATGTTACAATACCATTTGCAATAACTCATAAGTAAAAATTGGCAAAAATCAACATAATAAGATGTAAAAATAGTTGACTTCTCAGTAGAAAATAGTAAGATTTATCTTGGACCAACAGGGTTCTCAGTTAATGTCACAAGATTGGTTAATCAAATTAAGAGTTTACAATTAAGTGAATGTCTTCAGATTATTGCCTAGTACAATACCTGGATCCATCCAAAGTTAGTGGGTACATCTAGAAATGCCCAAACATGTATGCTTACATTTCTAAGCCTTGATGCAATAGAAATATACACATAACCCTCAGAATCATATTTACTGTGGTAAGTACTATGATATGTCCCAAAAGTAACTTTTAAGTACTAAATCGTAAGTTTTAACATAACAAAGTGGATAAAAGGATACAGCTAACTAAATATAAAAGACTTGTTTTCAAAGATTTCAAATAGCATGTAGGATAATTATCCCATTCTCTAAGTAATTTAACTAAGGAAACAGTAATTGCAAGCAGTTACCATAATAATTAATCACTTCAACTTCTTCCATAGCCAACTTCTTAACGATCTCAGCCAGCTAGTAATGGATTCCTTGAACTTGTGCCTACTTGTTAGTTTTCCACTCCCTATTTTTGGTTTCTGCTATTTAAATCATTCCAACATTAAAAACTAAAAGTAATACACATATAAGTCGTAAGACTTGACTGTTAATAAGACCAGTGACAGACTGGCAAAACAAAATCTAAGTAGACCCTCAAAAACATATCCAAATAAGAACTAAATGGTTAACCTCAATAACTGTTTTCTAATATACATAAAGATGGGGATGGAGGGAGTATTTTAATAGAGAGGAGAGAAGGCCAATGAGAACAACTTTACCTCTTCAAAATTCCTTAAAAAATAAAATTCTAAAGGATGCTAAGAAAACAGTTTTTCCTATTCTTGTGCAAAATGAAATCCACTGCAAAGAAAAGCTGTCACATAAAGTTCAAATGTTAGGATAACTGAAATAGGAACTTGGATGCATATCTGTCCTGATGGCATTTTTAGCAGTTCCCCCTTCTAGGAAAAAAAACTGATCAAAGAAATCATTCTCTTCATGAGAAGATGTAAAAGAGAAGCTGAAGTAGTAAACTAAATGATCAAGACAAAAGTTTGCAATTGAATCTAGTATTCTCAGCACTCCCACTGGTCATTTTGGGTTCAATTCCAGTATCTGGAATCAGAGAGTAGCATTTTACAAAATATTTAGCTTTATCTTATATTTTTTAATCATTCCAAGGTTTGATTCTAAGTAAAATCAATTTGCTACTGTCAACTACACAATTTTTAAATACTTCAGACATTGTAAAATATTCATGGGAAGGCAAATATTTGGACATCATCTTATGAATAAGCATACTAAATATCTACCCTTTCCTTAATATAAACAATTATTGTATAGTAGGTCATGATCACACAAAATATAATTGCTTTTGAAATCATTTTAGCACAAGCTTTTACTAAAAACTACACTGACATGTCACACAAAAAAATCACATTCCCAAACATTAAATGCAGTACCAATTCAAATTTCTCTCAAGCATTCTTCTGATTCACCAAGGAGGAAACTTCTAGAAAAGGTTCACACCAATCTACTTCAAAGTCCCACTGACTCTACCTTTGTAACATATCTGGAATCTGACCGCTTCCACCACCTCCACTGCTACCACCTTGGTCTGAGCCACCATCATCTGATACCTACAACGCTGCAGTGGCCTCACTGTTCTTATGCTTGCCTTGCCTTGCCCTATACCACCTGACCCCATGACCCCAGTCATTTCTCAACACACCAGACCCTAAAATCCTTGTAAAATACAAGTCAGGTGATGGCACTCCTCTTTCAAAATACTGTAAAACCTCTTATGAGGACCAGTGTAAAAACTAGAGTCTTTTTAAAAATCTATGAGCTCCCATGGAATCTGATCCTCCCCCTTCCCCAATTCATCTCTTATTCCTCCTGCCACCTTGTGTACTCTACTCGAACATACCAAGGAGGCTCCTGCCTCAGGGTCTTTACCCTGACTTTTCACTCTGTCTGGCTCTTTCCATAGTTCCCAAATGGGATATTCCTATCCTCAAATATACCTCCTTGATGAGGCCTCCTTAAAAATGCATCCCAATACCCTGCACTCCTCTACCCAGTACGCCCAATCCCCTTATCCTGCTCTTACCTTTTTCCACCTTCTAACATATTATATAATTTAAAATTTACATATTGTATCTATTGGTTTATTTCTGTATAAATTCCTTATAAGCTTCAAGCTTCATAATGGTGGAGATCTCGGTTTTTTCATCAACATATCTCAAGCATTTAGAACAGTGCCTGAAGCATATTAAACATTAAATAAAAACTGGCAAGATATTAAACAAAATAACAGAATGTTGAACTTCCCTAGATTAATGAACAGCATTTTCCCTGTGTTATACCCATCTTCATTTACATTAAAGCAGATCTAAATGGTTATAAAACAAAAAGCAACACTCTACCGAAACCAGCATGGAGGTGGGGTAATTAAAACTCTCAGCCAGGCACAGTGGCTCACACCTGTAATCCCAGCACTTTGGGAGGCCAAGGCAGGTGCATCACTTGAGGTCAGGAGTTTGAGACTAGCCTGGCCTACATGGTGAAACCCTGTCTCTACCAAAAATATTAAAAATTAGCCAGGAATGGTGGTGCATGCCTGTAATTCCAGTTACTCGGGAGGCTGAGGCAAGAGAATCACTTGAACCTGGGAGGCAGAGGTTGCAGTGAGCCAAGATCATGCCATTGCACTCCAGTCTGGGCGACAGAGTGAGACTTTGTCTAAAAAAATAAATAAAAATAAATAAAAAACTCTCAATAACTGAGCTGCAAATGCTGACAGAGAAAACACCCTGAAATGGACTATCTGGGCAAATATGGTGATATGAATTACAATCTCATGGATGTTCTCATGGATGGGAACTTCCCATTTTCAAAGAACCATGACCCTATAATCAGTCTAAAATGTGTAAGTTAGTGAGTCAGAAAGCACTTAAGGATCTTCAGGAGCCCCAATGATCAAATTACATTGTTTTCAATGAGAAAGACATAGGAGAACATAACTAATTATCTGGACTCTAGAACTGATTTCTATTTTATCTCACTTCTTTGCTCATCATAAATAGACAAAACTGAAGAAAGATAACTTTGGTTATTGATTATTTAAAGCTTAACAACATATAAAATGCAAATAAAAACTTGCAGTATTTGGAATAACATGTAACAACCAAATTATAACTGTTCTCTTTTGAACTTTGTTTTAAATTCTTCATTATTGGAATGTTCTAACATATACAACTGTATTCCCCCAAAATTCATAGTCTGAAATCTCACCCCCAAAGTATTGGGATGCTATTAGAAGGTGGGGCCTTTTGGGGGTGATCAGGCCATGAGGGTGAAGCCCTCTTAAGCAGGATTAGCCCTCTTGAATCCTCCCTTTAACGGAACAATGAATTCCCCAGCTCCTTGATCTTGAACTTCCCAGCCTTCAGGATTGTGAGAAACTTTATTTTTTTATGTTTATTTATTTATTTATTTTGAGACAGGGTCTTGCTCTGTCACTCAGGCTGGAATGCAGTAGCACAGTCTCGGCTCACTGCAGCCTCCACCTCCCAGGTTCAAGCAATTCACCTGCCTCAGCCTGGGACTACCACACCCGACTAATCCTTGTATTTTTAGTAGAGACGAGGTTTCACCATGTTGGCCAGGATGGTCTTGATATCCTGATCTCATGATCCACCCACCTTGGCCTCCCAAAGTGCTGGGATTATAGGCGTCAGCCACAGTGCCCAGCCAAAACTTTTATTTTTTATAAGCTACCTAGTTTATGGTATTAAGGTGTTTTCTTATGGCAGAAACTCTAGAGTTCACTGCCTAAATGTAATATAGTTTAAAAAAAAAAAAAAAAGTTCCCTGAGTACCCTAAATCAACATAACCAAATTTATCATGTTTTTACTTTGAGCTTATTTACATGTGTTCCAAATATTGCTAGTCATCTAATTTCTATAATAAACAGTGAACTTCCAGGTATGTGAGAAATTTTTACTTCTGGACAAGATGGAGTAACAGGGAACAAAGCCTCTTATTTGAAGCAGTGAAAAAAAAAGACAAAATATAGAAAATAACATTTTTCAGAAATAAGACATTAGGTAACATAAGACAGTGATCCTTTGGAGAAAGGAAACAAAGAAAAGCTTGTGATTGCCTTACTGCAATCGTAGGGCTCACCTTCATTACTAAAGTGTTTTAAACCACAGCACAGGAGCTCCAGCAGTACCTCTGAGTTAAAGTGACATAGTTGGGCATCCAGAGAGGCCACATAGCCAGAGTTCACAAAAGAGAGTACCAGAAGGAAAGAGCTGCATACAGAGAGTTCTCTAGAGATCTGCTGAGTATCCCTCTGGTCTTCAGCTAAATAGAGATCAGTGCATGTTTAAGAAGAAATTACCCAAAGCCTTGGAACAAATACAATGAAAGCTAAAAAAAAAGGTCCCCAAGTTCAGATAGAGCCAGGAACAGCTCCTGCTCCTACCAGTGAAAGCAAAGGCCTTATTCTAGGTTCATCTGTTATAATACTTTGAACCTCAATAGCAAGGCTAGCTCAAGGCCAAATACTTCCCATCTCATGTAACAAAGTTTAAAGTGAGACCTGAAAGGCTCAAGCTGTTTTTAAGTAACTTAGCCACATCCTAGAATAAAAGTAAGAAAAGTTATTAAAATACAAAAATACAAAGCACCCAAAAAGGT